AGAGGGCAAAACAAGTCCCCTGCAAGGAAGCACAACGGATTTGCCTCTAAATGCGTCCTGTTTTTATATTAGAATTAAATATGCATTGAGCACCTTTGTGCCTGCAACAGATCAAGCTGGTAGTCAGCAAGCTCTGCCTGCCACAGACACCTTCAGAGGATCCCTTTTGTCATGCTGCATTAAAAATGGAGAAGACAGCTCTGACCTGGACCACACTGAGGCAAAACCTCGGGTGCCCTTGTCCTTCAGGTGCGTGCTTACGCTAACTGGTGGAAACAAGGCTGCATGGCCTCGAGGTGAAGAACTTCAGCATGTGCTGCAAGTGCTCATGTTTGCCTGCAAACATCTGATGCCTCTCAGGTCTGAAGAGGACTCAGGAGAGGAGCTCCTCTTATTGTCAAAATGGGCATAAACTGCAAATAGCCACCTGGTAGAGAAGTACTTCAGTAAAGCACAACTTAGCATGCGGGAGAAACAAATCTATTGCCTCTGAACTTTCCCTGTGCGTGAAGGAGCCAGTACAAGCAGCAGCTATTCATACCAATATGTTTTCCACCTTTACCTCGGGTAACCCCTAGATTCTCACTAAATCTTGCTGGGACTTTGGGAGGAGAGAGGACGTCAAGGCCAGGACCAGTACATTGTGCTCTAAATGATTGATCAGAGACTTACAGCTTGCTTAAAGTAGTAATTTGATGATAAAAATCCTAACAATATCCTGCTCCCTTCAACTTCAATGCGTTATAATCTTATTTAACACAATGAAAAAAAAAAAAAAAAGAAATATTGTAGTGAACAGACACCAGAGGGAATGTGGGCTAGAAAAGGATATTACAGTATCACTTCAGAGAGCGCCATAAATAAATCTTCACCAGAGATAGGTAGGCAGATTGGGGCAGCGCTTCACATAAAACTGCGCTGCTCTGAAAGACAGTGACTCATCAAACTCCCCACCTCTGATAATCAGTCCAATCAGGTTTTCATTAAGCAAGGAAGAAAAGCCAGAGAAGGGAACTGTATCTGAGCCTGGCTAGAAAACATGGTCTTGCCATCAAAGCATCAAGTTGGGATACCTGAGTACAGTTACTCCGTCCCCTGCTCATTTTCTGCTCCAGCTTACCCTTGTCTGAGCAGGTGACTGGACGTGACAACTTCCAAAGATGCCTTCAGCCACTTGATGACTGTGGGTCTCCCCTCAGTTCACTGGCTGTTCTAGGGTATTAATAGCAGCTACATAGTGGATTTGGCTGCTTAAAAGCAGACATATATTTAAATAGCTGAGGCACCTTGTTAAATTTAAAATTCAGGGTATTTACTCTTGTGCCTGTAAGCTTATAAGCTAATGTCTAGCCATGTCTCACAAAAGGCTCCAGCTGGAGAGTTTGGGTCCCTTGTGTTCAGAGCTCACTTCTCTCTCTCAGACTACACTCTGTATTACAGATTGGTAAGGAATGCATAAGAGAACCTTACTTAGTGCCCATCATCAAAGTAACTGGGCATTGCTCAGGTGTACGTATGCAAAGCAACACCCTTTTACATCATGTTTTGCTCTGATTTCCTACCTTAGCTATAGGATGGCTTGCTCCAATTTTTGGAGGAGATGGCTGCTATATTCACAGACAACCAGAAAGGTTTAAGATTCCAAGACAACTTGTCTATCCTCAATTTATTGCCATCTTGGGTTTACTCCCTCCTGTACACTCTCCAACAGATCTTTAGGAAGTTATTAATTGGCTTTTATTTAGCCAACTATACACACCATCTCCTTGTAGAACTCCAGCTGGTACCTCCACTCCTTGAACTACTTTACAGTGCTTCTAAACTCAGGTTTGGTGAGGAACACAACAGGAAGAACTAAGCCTCTTATCCTTAACCTTTGCAGACATCTCTATCCAATTCCCCCAGACATATTATTTGTTAAAAACAAAAACCAACAACACAGATAATTTCACCTGTGTATAGCCCAGGCCACACGAGCACTCTGCAGGTCTAAGACTTGTTATTGTTTGTTTCCCTTTTCCAAAATCTTCTCCTTGCTCGGAACAAAGAGACACTGAAGCCAGGTAGAGACTTCCCACTGATTTCAAAGACCACTGGGCTAGGCCTCCTTGTCAGAATGAACTCCACACTCCAAATACTCAACTCCTCAGGCTGACAGAAAAATCCAATCACCCTTTTCCACTTGTCTTTTTCACTTTTTTTCTCCAAGCCGGGAGCTTTCTACAGCTAGCCTCCCAATACTAAGCCAAAAGAAAATCGACACTAAGCAATAGCCCCTTTATTTGCAGTCCTTCTTCCTCAGAAGCAGTATTGACCCAGGGACTCAAGATGATGCTGAGGAGGAGCTGCACTGTCCGATGTGCTGCCATGTGGATTAAGTGAAACGTAGAGCCATGACCACATAAGCTGTACAGTTTCTAAGCATTCACAAGCTTAATTCCAGTACTCTGGCAGGATTCCAGCTGTGGTGAGCCTGGTTTGTGTTATTTCTTCTTCCCCTAGTATTTCCTTTGAATACAGCATTCTGCACTTGCCACCTTGTGTGGGGCGTTCTATTGCAATCAGACAATCAACTTGAACTTCAGCTGGGATAAGTACATGAAGCACTGCATTCATTCAGTTATGTCACCCCATGGCAGCTGATGATATGGCTTAGATGACTTCAGAGAGCCTTTAGAAATAACTGAGCTTGGGAAAATAATACCCCTGTGATGAGTTTGATTAACTATGATAACACTGATGATCACAAGAACATTGTGATGTTACCCCTCAACCATCTTATCTGGACTCCTCCAAATGACTAACACTGATTTTTGTTTAAAAGTTCTTTTGTATACCTTTTCCTTCTTTCTCCTTCAAGATTAGCCCTTCAAGGTTCTCCCCTGCCCAGCTGCACCTTCCATAAAAATGAGAAGGCAAATTCAACCAGACAGAAGTATGTAGTACAAAATTGTCACTCTGTGCCCTGGTTCAGACTCTGCAGCAGAAGAATAGGGCAATTCATGCCCAGGGAAGAAGAGCTGTGCACAGCAGCACATATCACTCGTTCTCAAATTAGGTCGTTGATTTCTAAGGCGAAGCATTTATACATGCAGAACAGCTACTTAAGGTTTTTCACAGAAACTTTATGGTTGTTTCCAAGCTCCAGAGAGCTCAACTCACGGTAAGTAAAGCACCTCGATTTCCAAGTGGGAGGATACTAATCTAAATCTAATTTTACTATATTACAGTTGTCTATAATGTTTGCAGAACAGTTTCTTTGTTAAAAGAGCACATACAGAAAGAATATTAGAGGATGAAACAGGAAGAATTTGCCCATATCTGTTTGCCTTCTGCATTTCTAGGCCTCTATACTTTACTTAGTGCATGACTCCTACAAATGGGGTAATTGTCTTTTCCATTCTACGGAGCCACTCTGGGTCTTGCATGATTATCAGACGATTACTACCATTCAAATTATCCCATGAAATTTGCATAGTTCCTCTTCCTCAAGACCTTCCTCAGCAGGAAGACAGCAGACATAGATGCAGAATCCACCAGAGTCCCTTTAAGCACAATGAAACTATATTTTTACCCAGCTACCACTTTCCCATGTCATATTAATCAAAGGCTGAGATCCAGTCACCCAAGCACTGGAACCAAAATCTGACCAACACTGGATAGCCCAGGAAGGGCAGGAAGTTTCCCCATTTGCCTGAAGTTCAGAGATATCCTTGCTCACTTCACCTTGGAATGCTGTCCATCTCTATAATTAGCTCTTCAGATTAGGGACTTTTTCCTGACACCACCCTGAAACATGCTTAACTACAAGTAAGGACATAAAGAGAAACTCAAACTCATACTCCTGAGTCTGTACTGAAGCAATGCCCTCCCTGTATGATCTTCATGACAGAATGAACTCTACAGTCACACTGAGCATTAGTACATGTAGAGATCTTACTGCTGTCTGTGAACAGCCTTCAAAACATGTTAAAACCAAGATCAGCTGCTTGTGTTACATATTCAATGCAACCATGCTACATAGGAAGCTCTGAATCTACTTCGGTAGTTGTACACTGAATGCAGCCAATAAGCTCTCAGATCCTGGTGAAGTATATTTCTGACTGAGATAAAGAATTTCTGTTCTGAATTCCATGCTTTCTTATTTCTGATTTTCCAAAAATAAGTTGGAAAAACAACTTCTGCACCATGTGGCCAGGAGATATTACAGGAAAAATATGAATAAAAGTGCCAGAAACCGCTGAATATAATTCTGCTTTCCTTCTGATCTGGGACTGAGTGTTCATAACCTTGTCCCATGGGCACAGCAGTGGAGATTATCACAAAATGACGGCTCTGCATGCAGCAAGGCACATCCGTGTGAGGACGCACTTTGAACATGCGGTTACCATATCACCTCCAGAGCCACAAACATCTGTGTTTTTCCTTGACAGCCCTTCTGCATTTTCAGCCCTGATGATATCCATTAAACTCTCCTCTCTTCATCTTTCCTTCTTGCAGCTCCAAGGAAACCATTTGTGCTTTTGTCATCTACATTGGCAGGAGGAAAAAATAAAAGGGCGGTACAGAAAGATCAAGCTTTTCAAATCAAACAGAACATCTGCAAGGGTGATTTATAATAAGGAGAAAACAAAACCTTTGATAAACATATTGTAGAGATATTACAAAGTCCTTAACACTGTCAAAGTTAAGCACTCTTCACCTTTGGGTAGATTTCCCTTTGCACCTCTTCAGGAAAACAGATCTGCCACTTAGTTGTCTGAGAGCTGGTTTGAATCAAACAGCACAAATTTTATCACTGTGATCCAAATGAGCTCAGAAACCGAGCCTGAGCCTGTATCAGGACTGCTGGATTTCTCCCAGCTGCAGCCATAAATGGGCAAAAGAAAAACCACCAATGTCCAAGTGATTTTCTGATGAAGTCCTGGTGACTGGAAAAAAGGCACCACCACACCCATTTTTAAGAAGGGTAAAAAGAATGACCCAGTGGAACTACCGACCTGTCAGTCTCACTTCTGTGCTGGGAAAGATCATGGAGTAGTCCTTCTGCTAATGCACATGGAAGACAGGAAGGTGACAGAGGAGAACCAGCATGGCTTCACCAAGGGCAAGTCCTGCTTGACCAGCCTAGTGGCCTTCTATGATGTTGTAACTGCATCACTGAACAAGAGAGAGCCACTGATGTCATCTGTCTGGACTTCAGTGACGCTTTTGACATGGCACCCCACAACATCCTTCTCTTCAAACTGGAAAGATATGGATTTGATGAGTTCACTATCCAATTCAAAGGATTCTATGATTCTATGATTTATTAAGCACTAAAGAGAATCTTGGTTAGAGGTTTATTTGTTCTTTTTTTTAAAGGCTGACATACATTATCAATGAATGTTATTGGGTTAGATATAAGGAAAAAATGTTTTACAGTGAGGGTGGTGAGGCACTGGAACAAATTACCCAGAGACGTGGTGGAAGCCCTATCCCTGGAGACACTCATGGTCAGGCTGGGCCAAGCTCTGAGCAACCTGATCTAGCTGTGGTGGTCCCTGTTCATTGCAGGGGAGTTGGACTAGATGACCTTTATAGGGCCCTTCCAACTCTAAGGACTCTATGATTCTATGATTTCAGATTGGTTTGAGACACTATGCACTGGGTCCAGTCAATATCTAGAAAGCCTGTACTACAGTCCAAAACTACCATCAAATCTCAGCCATCTGCAGTTTGGAAGGAGGAAACCTATGCTGTGATGCTAGCTCTGCACAAGAGCTTTTGCATGTAGCAGCTTTTGTGAACAGGGTAACATCTGCACAGTGATATACTTTCCTGTTCCCTCGTCTACATCAGTCCACATCTTGAGTATTCATAGTTTATGAAATTTTATTTCCTTCAACAATACTTACCTAAAATATTTATATATTTGTATATTGATACTTAAATATATAAGCATAAATTACAAAAATATGCATCTGCCTCCAAGAAATACTGTACTCACCATGATCCACAAACTGAAAGTTGCTGTCACACAGCCTCTGAGAATTTCTCCCCTCTGAAACCAGCTGTCCTTAATTTTCTGCACATTTCTCTGTACTTATCGCTTCATGAAAAGGATTAAAAGGCCAAAAGCAAAAGAAGGGAGTGGCAAACGAGCTCTTCCATGTGAGTATTAACCCTGTTAAATACGTCAGACCTAACTTATTCATCTTTCCACATGGATTAAGCCCCATCGCTTTCCTTTCATGCTGTACAGACGAACCACATGCTGCTCCTCACTCTCGTTTTTTTCCTATTTGCACTGTCATTCCCCTTCTCAACAGAGGACTGAATACAGCAGGTGGTAAAGATGAAACAGTAGTTCATCTGATTATTATTAGCCACATCATTACTATTAGCCACAGCTTCCTCCATCCTTTTCTCAACTCAGCTGAATGGTCCTTCCACTGCTGAAAGCCTCCACTGTGTACTGAGCAAATCCCTTCTTTCAGATGTTGACAACGATGCCCTGAGGTCTAGGGTAAAATGAATGCAGAAATCATCACTGAGTACAAGGCATTTAAATCAGCCTTTTGAGAGGCATTGCCTTGTGCTTGGCTGTATTGAAATTCATACTGGCATTTTTTCAGGTTTATTTGGCCTTTATGGAGTAGCTTTCATTCCTCAGAAGTCTTCACTAACCTGATTCAGGGTGGACCTTGTTATTAACCTCTTCCCATGCTGAGAATTGAACTCTTAGCCCTCGTCTTTACCGTACTGAAGCCATGTCTGTACCCTCCTTCTCCCTCTACAGTCACCAAATTTCTTTAACAGCTTCTCATAAGAAGCTTTTTCTAAAACATCTTGAAAATCTAAATTAATCATTTTTACCAGTCCTCCTTTATCTGCTGTGCTGTTAATCTTTCTAAAGAAATTGAGGAGTTATTAACAATAGAGACATAACTTATTATTTGTATTCAAGTACAGCAGCATTCAAAGACATTAGCAAAGATTAGATGGCAACATGCAAGCTCTGTCTACAGAGCAAAGCAAAGTCCTCACCCATTTGTTCACAACCTTAGTCAAAACAGAAAAGGCAGTGAAAGGAACAATTTTTTACTCTACTTTAGAAAATGTAAATGAAAGCATGCAGAATTTTATCCTTAAAAACCATGGAAATTTGTTGCTATTAACTTATACTGGTGCTTTATTGCCCATTATAAAACTAATTTCTCAGTTTTCCTTTCAGCAACTGAAATAAAACTGAGAAGTCTATGATTCCTTGGATCACCCTTAGTTCCTATTAAATAGATGGATACATTGGCCTCTCTCCAGTCCTCCCTGGTCAAATTATTCATCATAAATAGTATTTATTATGAATAAAACCCTTTTTGGTTAGCAGAATATTTGGGAACCATCTGATTTTCTTTAAATGTATTGATTATTTATAAGGACTTGGCAATAGACCCGAAGTTATTTGCAACCAATCTTCTTTGACTCTTCACTTTTAATGGTCAGTTCCAGGTTGGTACCCCAAGTCCATGATCCTTTATAACTGTTACCATAAATCACACACTACGCTGGAAAATCCTTGATCAGTGATAAATTTATTTATCATTGATGAAATTCTGAATGTCACTGTACTTTGAAGATTGGAAGGTGCTTTCACAAATTTCTTGGGACTGTCAACGTACTTGCAAGGAAAACAAAGTGAACTGAAGAAAGTTAAATGATCCCAGTCACAAAATACAAAAACTGCATTTTAACTGCATCATTCTTCCTTTTCACCAGATGGTTATGGCAACATGCCCATAATGTGCTTCTAACAGAACTGGAGCCTTACAATCTCCATTTGTTCCACTGCCATATTGACTTTGGCTTCCTTTCAGTTTCTGTGTTGTCCTCTCCTCACTAATTCTTCTGTAGGCAAAGCATGAGCAAAGAAAGAAAAAAGCCAGAAAATGGGATCCCAGATTATCTAAACACCCAGTGTCGGGACAGTCTGTTAGTTGCTTTGATATGATGCATTTACAGGGGAGACATTATGTCAGAAATACTCTGGCTTACAGGCACTGAGCTTTGCTTGTAGGAGTAGATCAGTAGTACTCAGAAATGAAAACCCAGGTAAGAAAAGGGATTCCCTCCCACACATCTCTTCTCGCCCTGTCACCCAAACCTTTTCTAGTTATAATATGAGCACAGTTTTAGAGCGAAGATTGATGCAAACAAGTAATTGAACTCCTCTGCAGCCATTTTATTGTCCACGATCGCCTCCCCTTCACCTTGACAGTTCAGTATTTAGAGTCACTGCAACTAGCTTGTAGCTAGGAATAACAACATGAATCAACTGTTTATTAACCTGAGCAGGAAATGAATCTGAAATGACGCATCACTTGGAAGCCCAGTAGCTTTATGAGAAGCCCAGTAACCTCTGCATGAATGAAGCCTGTAGAAGGGGTCCCCACCTCTATGGAAAGGAGATCTAGTTTCTTGGCAACTTGCTACTAAGCTACAAGTCAACAGTACAAACGTTGTATTTCAAATTCGTTTTAATACATGGATTCACCAATAAACTGGGGAGCATATTACCCTATCAATTTATTGTCATTGTAAATTTTATATATGCGAATTAAAAAAAAAAAAATCACCTGGGGACTATATCTTAGGAAAAGTGATGTTATGCAGCTTTCCTCTGTACTTCCTTACAGCAAAGCACAAAAGCTGAAGGGAGAAGGGGAGGAAAGTGATATGGAAGATGGTGAAATGCTTGGGCTTGTTTCCGTGCTATTCACTGACTCACTAAAACCAAAACTTTCTCAGGCTGTGATTTATTACCATTTCACGTATTCAAGTTTTTCCCTGGCTTCCAGCAGTAAAATCTTTGAGGTCTGCAGTGACACAGTTCAATGGAAGCTTTGCAATCTGTGTTTAAATAGCCAGTATTCAATCAGTATGAATTAGGAGATTATTTTTAATTGTATCTTTTACATATTTCTGATTGACTTACTTTGCAAGTAGACACTTCAGCTTTCACAACACAAATAGATCCCTGATCTCTATAAGGGCTGGAAACTGCTAAGAAGTCTCCAGCTTGTTTGGGCTATATGTTTTGCATCTATTTACCTCTCTGCCAAGAATCATAGCCAAAGTCTCCTGAGATAATGCCTTGCACACCAGCTAAAGGCTAACACTTAGCAGGCAGAGGTGGTCTGAGCACAAAGGGTGAAAATCTAGTACTGCACAGCAGCCAAGGCCATCTGTTGCCATCAGGCTTAGACAGAGGAAGAGTTCTGTCTTGCAGAAAGAACACAAACATCCCTCAGTGTTTTGGTTTTATACCCCCATCATATTTTCAGTGCCGGTGAGAGTAAGTGGTCAGCTGATGGATCTCTGAAGATCAGCTGGATTTGGCTTTTTTGGTCATGGTTCAGTGGTGCACATGTAAAGAAGCAGGGCATGGCACAGAGAGTTAGATCTCAAAGAGATAAAAACAACCTATGTTTCCAAGGGCACATGAAGAGGTGAGCAGAGATGTGAAACAGGGAACTTCCATTAGTGCTTCCTTCAGATAAAGAGAAAACAGGACTAGCAATTTTGCAGAGAAGAAAATGAATCAATAAAGAAAAAGAAATGTTAAGTAGTTACAATGCCAGAGCTGTGCCGAATAGAAACATGTGTGCCATAGAATGAAAGAGAGATATTTGGGGCTTAGGATATTTATGAATTTATATATTTAAGATATTTTAGGATTACATGTAACCTTGCTGTTTCCAGTGAAGGCGATGGTGGTCAAACAGCCCATGGTTTGAGGAGCTGTAAGAAAGAGAGAGACATACTCTTTAACAGGGTCTGTTGTGACAGGACAAGGGGAAATGGTTTCTAACTTAAAGAGGGGAGATTTAGATCGGATATAAATAAAAAATGTTTTACAATTAGGGCAGCTGGACCAGGATCTGAGCAACCTGATCTAGCTGTGGACATCCCTGTTCATTGCAGGGAGGTCCTTTCCAACTCAAACAGTTCAAAGATTCTATGATTCTGTGGTGCAGAACAGAATCCAGTTAGTCCACTCCATCCTGACTACCCTCTGGTGAGGCCTTGGCCATACATTTTCAGAGTGAACAGATCAGGCATCCCACCATATTCAGAATGACACTGAGTGAGAC